TCTCGACAAGTTCGGTTTCTATGACTGGCGCTCAATTACTAGACGAACTCGCCCAGGCAGTTCGATCTCTGGTCCAGCTCTATCAACTGAACTACGTTCAACTTGATCCTCGAAAGGGGTACGTAGGCAGCCTTTCATAAGGTTCAGACCGAAATCAATCAAATCCTTTTTCTTATCTTTTTCCGTCTTTTGTTATCGAGATGTGACTCGACTAGGTTTAAGGTTTTTATGTTGATAACTCGCTGACGGCCCTGCGGCCAAAGCCTTTGTAAACCCTTGTAATTTTGGGAACCGAAATCCACCTACTGTCAATAAATCGTAAATAAGGAAACTTCGGGAAAACCTTATGTTTCCAGAGGAACCGGCTATCTGCAGAACTGCACAACAAAGATTAAGAAAACGAAGAATTTAGAATTAAAAAGAGAATACACGAAATCGAGAGCAAAGAGGTTCTTATTCCGGATCTGCGTAAGAACTGTTACAACGAGAGTAGCCTTAGCTGTATGAGCCGTCGGCGAAATCCCTAGAAATCTAAGAACGAAAACCCTAGTTGAGACGCAGCTCGCTAACCGAAAACAAAAATATTCCTAAATGCTAGTTTTTTGGTGGTGAGAGCTCTGAAAATTGTGTCTGCTTCTGCCCTATACCTCTTGCTATATACTCCCTGCCTTGGCGATTCGATCTTTCCATTTTGCCCGGATTTGAGTGTATCGGGAATCTTCCATTTTTCTCGATCCTTTCTTTTCTTCTTAGTTCGCCAGCAGGCGAACTAGTCGTGACTAGTTCGCGTTTTGCGGCGGTTTCCGTTTTTCGCGGTTTTATAAAACGATTCTAGAGTTTTATAAAACGACTTCTCGAGTTTTATAAAACGATTCTCGAGTTTTATAAAACGATCTTCGAGTTTTATAAAACGACTTCTCGAGTTTTATAAAACGATCTTCGAGTTTTATAAAACGATTTCTCGGGTTTTATAAAACGATCTTCGAGTTTATAAAATGATTCTCGAGTTTTATAGAACGATTCTCGAGTTTTATAAAACGATCTTCGAGTTTTATAAAACGACTTCTCGAGTTTTATAAAATGATCTTCGAGTTTTATAAAACGACTTCTCGAGTTTTATAAAACGATTCTCGAGTTTTATAAAACGATTCTCGAGTTCTATAAAACGATTCTCGAGTTCTATAAAACGACTCTCGAGTTTTAGAAAACGATCTTCGAGTTTTATAAAACGATTTCTCGAGTTTTATAAAACGATCTTCGAGTTTTATAAAACGCCTTCTCGAGTTTTATAAAACGATCCTCGAGTTTTATAAAACGATTCTCGAGTTCTATAAAACGATTCTCGAGTTCTATAAAACAACTTCTCGGGTTTTATAAAACTATTCATTTTGTATTTTTACGGGGAATTTTGGCTAATGATTCTGTCGTACCAATTTTGACCCCAACAGTAATGATGGCAACGCTCTTACACGAAATCGAAATAAGATCTACTTTTTCTATATATTCATTTTATTACATTTTTCATATTTTTCCGCATTTATTTTGTTACTTGTCGTTGGCTTTCGCAGATATTCGGTTCCTCTGGAAAATTAGGGTTTTCCTAAGTTTCATTATTTTACGGAAACTGTCAGTAGGAGAATTTCGGTTCCCACACTAACTATTTGTGTAGAACGTCCTATTCGTTTGCTCGTATCGGAATGTTTCGACTTTTTCGCAAGCGTTTAGATATGGACGAAGAGACATGCCTTTAGGATCTCATTTCATGCCTTGAGACCTTAAAGACCAGTGTGTTGGGTTTAAGGCAATACCTAGGTTTACTTTCGGTTTAAAGGCTTTGCGATGACTAGTCGGCTTTCGTTTTTTCTGTTGCATTCTTAACCTGATTTCGTACCGATTTAAAGTCTGTGATAGGTTCTCAGCTTATATGACTTGTCTGGTCGAAATCGAGCATCCTCGAAGGTGCTGACCAAAATTTTGGATTTCTTTTATAGCTAGCTATTTTATCCTAGTCGGATGTACAAGGACCAGTGGGTCGTATGAGTTTGTTTAAGACGGCATGTATGCTCGGCGAGGCCAATCGACGAGCGTTTGTGATTTTATAGTCGCGGATGGACTTGTGAATATTTCTCAAAAGACTTTAAGCGACGTCCCGCCGGTTCTTTTCGAAGTATTGATATTGATATGATGTATACGTTTTTGGTCGGAGCGACCAAGTGTTTTTTTTTTTGTAACTTACTATGGAAGTAATTTCTGAGAGTGTTCGGAATTCGGGTTTGTTTTCAGATTATATTTTTTTGATGAAGGAGAGATTTTGTAAGATTCTAACTTTGTCTTTATTGAAATGTTTCAAAAATCTAGAGTACAAAGCGAATATTTTGAAATATGGGAGTATACGAATACTCGTACATGCACCCACTCACCCCCCCCCCCCCCCCC